TTTCCCTTTCCCCCTCTCCTGGACTTCTCAACAAGTTAGAACAGACCATACTCCCAAGTCAGACAACAACAAAAGATATAAGAAACACTTAAAAAAAACTAAGTCTAAAACTTACTAACAGTCTAATGACCCTTGTGTTTCAAAGTGTTTCCCTCAACGTCATCTCGTATTGAAGATTCCAGCAAAAATTGTAAAGAGTAAAAGGAACACACTATCGAAATTAAAAGAAGCTGGAAGCAATTCCACTCTGCTCAATGATTTCGATCTCTTTAGCTACGGTAATCAGCAACAACAACAAAATATCCATCTCCTGACAGAGAAGCGTAAATCAATAGAAATAGAAGGGAAGCTTGTATCGTCACATCGGGATCGGTGAACTATTTCTACGACCCATGACGTCATCAAGTTTCTGAGCAAAATCCCGGCGGGGTAACTCTCTCAGGATATAGATCTAGTTGACACGTCTCTACTTGACACGTCTCTACTTGACACGTCTCTAGTTGACACGTCTCTACTTGACACGTCTCTAGTTGACACGTCTCTAGTTGACACGTCGCTGTTCTAGAATTACAAAGCTCTATCTGCTCAGTTTCCAATTTTAGAGAAATTTGACGCCAAAAGGGTTTTAGTTTCATAACATGTCAGGTATTTTTTAATCCAGATCAGTTCCTAGATCTAGTTTAGCGAAGTTTGGCGTAAAATAACTTGAGCTTCGCAACATGTCAAGCTTTTTGGAACGCAGTTCTTTGAATATTTTGATACCGACTACAAATAATCTGACGATTTTGATAGAGCAGATAGAACATTTATTGGTTTTTGACCCCACGGTCTTAGAAACTCAAAACGGCCACAAATGTCAGATAGGACTTTGTAATTCCGAGTTTGCGACGTGACATGCCCGATGTCCGATCAGTAGGAGACCAAAGGTAATGGGAAATTTTACTTTTAGGAAGAGTTTTACGGCTCTTGCAACTCAATAAGTTTATTTTATAATTAGTGCCGTTTATTAGTGGTGTTACAAGAGAGTAACAAACACACAACAGAATGAGGAGAGATAAAGACAGTAGATGTTTTTGATAGGAAAGAAGGCGCAAACCACACTAGAGCGTCCACAAGCCACTCACACAATGGGAGGGAAATTTTGAACCATCTTACACAAATCATAAATTCGCATTAAAATGTGTATATTTCATATCGTGCATGTTGTTGCCTGCCGTTTTGTGTCTCGGACAAGAACACACAATCGCATTTATTGTAGGAATAACGAAGTTTACTGTTTCTTTTTACAAGCATCCCAACATAACATAGCGCGTCTTCCAGCTTTGTGCATCCTCAGTGGTCGTACTCGTAATACAAACCGGTCCCGTATTTAGGAGAAAATACCACAAAGTCACTAGACATTACTACATTATCCAGGCCAAAATTCGAGCAGTTGAACCGTTACGTCATAACTAAGATATTGCAATCACTATGGCTGATCGGATGTGATGTACGCTCACAGAGACACAATTAGATAATTCAGGAAGCGAGCTGCTTCAGACCTGCCAGTAAAGACAACCCATGTGTTAGTAGAGTCAGGCCCCGGCCGGAGAGTCGGAATACTCGATGAGGTAAAGTTTCCCTGACGTATTTTTGTCATTCAAACAGAAACAGAAAAAACAAACTACAGCAACCACAACCACCACCACAACAACAACAACAACAAAAACAACAACAACAGCAACAACGATAACAACAACAATAACAACAACAACAACAACAACAACAACAACACCAACAACAACAACAACAACAGCAACAAACAGACCGGATGACAACTGTGCTGCAAGGCTCACAACAGAGACAGACAGAGAGAGTTAAGTGAAGTCCTCGTACATCATGCACTGAAAACGTAATATCCGAAAGTGGTCTGCGACTTTATGAAATAATACATCATGCAAAGCAGACACCGGGGAAGATTGAGGACTATTGTGGCAAAAAGCGGGGCGGTACTAAAGGATGAACACGTCACGATGATAGATCACAGATGATGGAATCGAAGAAAAGTCTTTGGGCTAGGGGGGGGGGGGGGTTGAAAGTTTTGAATTTTGACAAAATTATCAAATTTGAGTTGTGGGAATGTTTGGTTTCTTCAACCTCTCATATAACTATAATTTCATCTCAAAAGAACCCATATTTAATCTCATACAGGCATTTTAGTCACCAGCATATCTTCCTATGTCTCCCTTTTTTCGATATCATCAGTTTTCACAATAGGCTGTTTTTCTATAATATACTTTTAAAAACAACGCCGCCATTTTTTACCCAATCTTCCT